GACTGAACTAAACAAAATAAAATTCCATTTATGCTTTACAATCACTCCAATATGGCTGTGGTAGATGATTTTACTTATTTGCTCACCCTGCTAAACACACCCATTTAAAAAGCAAAATAAAACTAAGCAACTCAAAACCTCTACACCAGTGATTCCCAAAGTGGGCGCTACCGCCCCCTGGTAGGTGCTGCAGCGATCCAGGGGGGCGGTGATGGCCACAGGTGCACTTGGGGGCGATGAGTAACTGCTATTAAAATTTTAAAAAAATTAATTTCCAGGGGCTGAGTAATATTTTTTCTGGAAAGGGGGCGGTAGGCCAAATAAGTTTGGGAACTACTGCTCTACACCTTAATCTTATTCTAGCATCAGTGCCCTATATTTGTCTTATTATACTAGGCTCCCCAGTGCCTGACAGACACAAAGCTTTTTCTGAATGGATAAATGAATGCTGTTGCTGTCTTCCAGATTCCCTTTCACACCAGCTTCAGGATCATTTCTCCTTTGACTTTGACATCCAGTTCAACATGGAGTCCAACCAATTTCTCAGATACATACTTTTCAGTATCTGTAACTCTAAACCAGACTACCTCTCATCATCTCACAACAGGATTATCATGGCAGCTGAATTTATCCCACACACAGCAGCAAAAATCACTTTCATTATGCCACTTCTTAGTTCTATATAAAATGTTTTACAGATTATGCCATAAATCATGTCATCCCACAGTTGGTGCAGCCCTTAACTAATGTTATTCCCTCCCCCCTGTTCCCCCACTAACAATACTCTCCACTCCAGCTTACTTCTAACACTTTCCTTTTTATGTTCTCTGACCAAAAAAAAAAAATGCCCATTTTCTGCTTAAAAATACCACCCAAAGTGGTCTCACCTAGGCTTAGCTATTCATATTGTGATTTAACAAATATTCTTTAAGAATAAACTCACAATATGGAATACAGATTATCATAAACTAGGGAGTTCATTATATATGCACACACACATTTAAGGACCAATTCTAAGAGAGTTTTATCAGTTAATATAAATACCCAGATAAAACTAGGCTTCTTGAGAGCAAGAACTGTGTTTTTTGCTTCTTTATTATCTCTAGTGCTTACCCTAATGTCTAGCATATAGCAGATGCTAAGTAAATGTTTCTGAATGAATAAGTAAACAACGATCATGGATTCTTAGACATGAGCAAAATGTTTTCATGCAAGGAAAGTCAAATCAGAACTGAATAAGAAAAATCTGCAAATAATGGCTGTGTATGAAAGTCAACTATGATGTGGAGATAATGCCACACAAAACTGCTAATACCCCACATATCTCAGGTCTAGCCACCATCTTAAAACTTTCTATACCCCAATTTTAATTTCATCTAATGAGAGGTTTTTTCTCCCAGAGGAATGAACCACCAATTTGATAGACTTTAGTCTATGAGTTTCACATTACAATATAATATAATCATCCATCAAACCTTAATAAACTAAAAATCATAGTCTAAGTATTATATATGTAGACATGAAATATTGTCTTCAGGTACTTACAGCCTATTGAAGGAAATAGTCAGGTAACCCAGTAATTATAATTAGGGCACAGATATCATAAGGTACACCTTGACAGGGGAGACAGAGAGGCTCTTAACTCATCTTGGTAGCAGTGATTAATCCAAAAAGGTTAGTAAAAATTTCCTATATTAAATCAATTTCTGAAATGGAATTAGAATTAACGATGGAAAGAATTTCAGATGAAAGGAAATGGAATGTAAAAGGCCAGAAGCTGGAAAGAGCATGGGGAATCTGAATTCATGTTGGCACGGCTGCAGTATGAGCTGTGGGGAAACGGCAGTAGTTGAGAGTAGGCACGAGAAAGATCACACATGGCCTTTTCCATGACAAGGGGAGCTGACAGAATTGATAGTGGTAAAGGAGAGAGGAGGGAGCCAAAAATGTTTCTGATTTGGTGACTGAATATGGTGACATGAGTTACCAAAGAAGAAAATGATGAGTTAACAATTTTTTATTTAGCTTTAACTAGGAAAACAAATTTAATTTTATGCAGATGCTTTGAGATGCCTTGGGTCATTCAGGTATGTTTCAGATAGCAGTAGAACACTTTGTTCAAAGGAAGAGAAATGAGAAAGAAATATTATTGTGTGTCTATCAGGTTAATAACACATATGCTGGTGCAGTGGGCTTGGAAATCCTAGTCCTTTAAAGTCACAACCCTCATATATTTTTTTCTATATGTCATTTACATGTGTTTGATATATTCCTAAAATCAGAATAATTCTTCCCCTAATTTGTAATTATAATGCCTATCTCTCAGTTCTTGTTACAGTGCATATGCAATAAATGTTGACTAAGAGATAATCAATTAGTTAAAAGGGAAAAGATGAATGGAACTGCACAAATAGAAACATAAGAGAAATGGAATATGTATCCTGACAAAAACAAGTTTCAAAAAAAACCCCTGAAGAAATTCATACTGCTTAATCAAATTCTGGTATGTTCCACTCTGTGGAAGAAGTATCTAAATACTTTTTCAAAATGTTGGAATGGTGTTGAGAACATACTGAATGTTACTGTACCTAAAAGTTAAGCTAGCACATAAAACATTAGAGATATGTTTGTGCAATTGTCTCTATGCAAACAAAGAGAAATGCGAAGGCTTAACAGTCATTAATTTCAACTTAACTATGAGATGTGAATAATCATATTTAATCTTCTGAATTATGATTTCTATAGAAAATCAACTATTTATTGCAAAAATATCAGATGATGTGCTCCAGGCTAAAAAACTTTTCAGCAGTTGAAGACCTGGTCATAACACAAGAACATGAAGTCCTCACTGCACAGATGCACTCAGCTATAATAAATCAGGTTTAGCACAGGCAAATAAAATATAGGCAAGCAGGTGTGTGCCAGGAAGAAATGGTAGGGGATGAAGTTTAATGTGGACAATGCGGACAAAAGTTTGAAGAGTAAAACTATGAATAAGGAGAGATTAATCAGAAAAACGATGAGAGTGAAGAGTCTTAATTGTACTTGGGTTGCGAGCACATCCCCAGTAGGAGATGTGCGGGAGGCAGCTGATCGATGTTTCTTTCTCATCGATGTTTCTAACTCTCTATCTCTCTCTCCCTTCCTCTCTGTAAAAAATCAATAAAATATATAAAAATAAATAAATAAATAATGTGGACAATGCGGACAAAAGTTTGAAGAGTAAAACTATGAATACGGAGAGATTAATCAGAAAAACCATGAGAGTGAAGAGTCTCAATTCTCTTACTTACACTTAGGTTTCTCATTGTGGATGTCTCTTTCTCAACTATTAAATACAATGTTAACTATAATCAACTCTTTTGTACCTGTTTCCATGCTGGGAATTATTTGATTTTGAAGAAGCAGGCAACTCTTGGAAATCACTGAAAGAGTCATCAAGGGATCCTGACTTAGAAGCATCTTGAAAATCTTGGAAGTCGTCTTCTTCTGGTTTTACCACCTAGGTTTATGAGGACATTTAAAGAGAGAGCATTAAACTGGTAAAATAGTAAATAACAAATCTCCAAATGTCAATCTCAAAGACTATCTTTTAAATCTGTGCATTTAGTTACAACTACCTAATTTTAGAAGAACACCCTTCAGATACAATATCAACTCCAGTGCTTAAGGGAGGAATCTTGTCTAAAAAATTAAATACTCTAATGTACAAATCATAAGACTGATTTAAAAAGATAAACTATATAATTTTTTAAAATATATTTTTATTGATTTCAGAGAGGAAGGGAGGGAGAGATAGAAACATCGATGAAAGAGAATCATTGATCGGCTGCCTCCTGCACGCCCCCTACTGGGGAGCGAGACCGCAACCCAGGAACATGCCCTTGACTGGAATCAAACCTGGGATCATTCAGTCCACAGGCCAACGCTCTATCCACTGAGCCAAACCAGCTATATAATTTTTAAACAGCTAAATCACTTAACAGATTACTAAGAACCTGTCATCTTTTAAAAACATTTTGTACATGTTTGTAAATTTAAAAAAGTGATATAAGCTTATTATAAACAGTTCATTTGCTTTATAAAAAATGAACTTATATTCTTCACTTTAAAAAATGTAATTGTATGAAATGGACATCTTTTCAATGCAGTACATACAGTTCTATCTTAATTCATTTTAATGATCAAACAGTTTACCACTGTATGAATGAACCAAAATTTATGTAACCTTTCTTTTCCTGAGGGACATTTAGCCATTAATAATTTTTTATGCTAACAATGTTATAACAGATATCATTTTGTATCTGTGCTAATTTGAGTTACTATTTCTGTGAGATAGATTCCTAACAGCAAGACTGTGTAGGTCAGAAGATACAGACATTTAGAAACTTGAAAGCTATTAACAAACCCACATGCCAAAAAGACTGTATCAATAGTCCCTTTTCCCTACATTTAAAAAATATTTTATTGATTTTTTACAGAGAGGAAGGGAGAGGGATAGAGAGTTAGAAACATCAATGAGAGAGAAACATTGATCAGCTGCCTCCTGCACACCCCCTACTGGGGATGTGCCCGCAACCAAGGTACATGCCCCTAACCAGAATTGAACCTGGGACCCTTCAGTCCGCAGGCTGACGCTCTATTCACTGAGCCAAACCGGTTAGGGCTTTCCCCTACATTTTTACTGATACTAAATATTGTTTTTAAATTTCTTGCTAATCTGAGAAATGAAAAATAAACTGAATTATTTTAATTTCAGGTTTAACAGCCTAAGAATTTAATTAACTTTATTAGGCTTGAGGTTTAAAATGTATATGGTATAAAAAAAAGTATATGGTATAAAGAACTATAAACTTTTAGCCAAAATTCAAGTATCTTAAGGCTTAACGAATTGCTTCATGTTTTTTAAATAATGAAAAATTAAATTTTGTATTGTTTTGTTTAATCTTCACCTCCATCATAATCCATCAATCCTCTCTGCATCTCTGGAAAAAACATTGCCCAGATTCCTTTCAGAGGTTATTGGGAATATGCAGTTTCTCCATTTACCTGATTTGCAGGGTAAGTTGGCATGAAGCCACTGGAAGCCTGGGCTGTAGCTCCCCCTACTGGCCCAACAAGGTTAATGCCCATGACTGGCTGCCCAAGGTTGAGGGGCATAGAGCCTGCAGGACCTGAAGGCATCCCAGTTGGCTGACTCACTGCAGTAGGCAAAGTCATAGGAAAGCCACTTAATGTTGGAACAGGAGCCGCTGGAAACTGGTTTAAAGCATCAGGACTCATGGCAGGAACACCCCTCTACACAGGAGGAAAATGAAGACATTTTAGCGGATTATAAACCACATACAACCTAAATCTGGCAAAGAGACCAAAATGTAAAATCTGTAGCATTGGTATGATTCCACTCCTAACTCTCCCAAAACTCATGACTTTGATACAAGAAAATAAATTATAAGGTTAATGCAAATCTAATATTTAGCAAAGAAATGGCCAACATGTATCAATTCTGACATTTTCACTCTCTGACAAGTTTGGTTAGTTTACTATAATCAAATCAGGATTAGATATGTTATAAATGGCTTTGTAATATAAGAGAAATTACTATCAGATGGAAACTACTTTATATCTAAGGAATTTTAAACAAGCACTTCAAAGGACAGAGAGAAACTTCATCTATTATTGACTAACTTTCAAGTTCAAAAGAGAGATAGGTCAGAAGATGTTAATATATTAAATAGTTTTTAAACAAAGGAATATTTTTCTAGTATGTGCTTCATATAAACTATACATTTTTTGAAGTACTATATCTTGAAAATAATTTAAATTTTAATGTACAAAGAATGCTTTGTAATCACAAAGGATTCATATTCTTCCAATTTATATTGAAAAATTATTTGATCTAACTTAAACAATGTCTACCTGTGTTACTGCTATCATGGCGAGAACAGTATAAAGTTCTTCTTTAGTAAGTTTGCCAGGTGTAGTTCGATTAGCTAAGGCCCATATCTGTCCAAGAGTTTCCCTGGGAAGTCCAGATGACATCAGGATGGGATAAAGTTTTGCAGTATCTATTCCAGTTGGAGTCATGGTGGTTTCTAAGATTTTCTTATAGACATCTATTAAAGGAAAGACCAGATTACAAACGTAAATATATTACCACTGATTGATCTTTTTTGTTGTCAATGTTGCTTATAGGAGACTCATCTTAAGTCAAACTGCTTTAATAGAACTAAAGCCATGTCAGGGTTTGAACCGCTGTAAAGATATTCAAGTGGAAATATCCAGCAGATAATTAAGGTCTGGTGCTTAGAAGAGAGGTTGGAGCTTGGTCCTAAAGATGAAGATTTGGGACTAAGGGTAAGAAAATGTCTTATAATTTAGTAGAAGGTAATAACAAAAGAGAAGTTGTAGAATAATGATGGTGGGAATAGTTTGAAAACAGCGGTTGGAAGGGGGAATTATACCAATACCACCTTTTCCCTGTCCCGATGAATTAGAGGCAGTGAGAAAAACATCAATGGGTAAGGTGCTATGGAATATAGCCGTCAGAGAAAAACACAGTTTTAGTTAAGGCAAGGAAGCAGAAAAAAGAAAGGGACTATTTGGGGACATTTCCACAATAAAACAGGGTTTCCAAAGGACAAAGTGAGAAAGGCTGTTTGAGAAAGGGTTGACATAAAACATACAGGACACCAATATTGCATGGGACATACTTACCGTATACTAAATAATTCTTTACTGTTTATTTGAAATTCAAATTTAACTGGATGTCCTGTATGCCTATTTGCTAAATCTGGCAACTCTCGTTGGAGGAGTTTTGGGGGATGAAAGTGGATAGGGCTAAGGTAGATAGGGAAAAATGTTTAAAGCAAAAATTTTACATCTATGATTTAATTATGGGTTGCAGATTAATAGCCCAGCCATGACAACACATACTTTGGCTAGGAAATTATGTGTACATGTATGTTTGGAAGAAGGAGAAAGGAAGAAAACAAGCTGGCAGAAAATGGATGTAACTCCAAAATATACCAAGTCCAAATTTTGTTTTGTTTGTTTGGCTTGAAGACGGAGAGGGAAAGATGCAAACTGTCTAATGGGCAGGTGGAAGAAGACCTATTGTTTTTATGTACAACTAAAGTCCCATTTGGTTTGGGAAATTAGCCTTTCAATTAGTGATTATGATGTAAAAAGAAGTTCAGCTATCAGGATCTTGCATGAGTTTTATTTAATCAAGTGTATAACAACTTCAATCTATAACCATTCCACAACACTAAAGATCTGATGAAAGCTACCTTTTAGTTTACAAGGGGATGACAAAGTAGAACAAATTTAATAAGTTACAATTTATTAAGCTTGATTAACATATTCCGCTATAACAGTCATTATGCACATCAACCATGGCTTAAACAGACCTATTCTTTGTATCAACTGAATAGCATCACAAAATGTGCACTTTAGTAAATTTCTTTTTTGGCTCAACAGTAATAACATTTTAAAGAAAAAGTAAACATCTTCTAGTGTAGAAAAAGATGCCACTTGGTCTTTTTATTTCAGATACTACCATACGATAAAAATGTCATAGGAATATTTTTTTAAATATAAACTGATCACCAAGAATTCAGAAAATTGCATCACACATATTAGTACTATTCTTTATAGTTATTAATAATCTAAAAAATAAATGTTTGATCACTTCTTCTAGAGCATGATAAATCAAAAAGTTTTTAGAATTAAAAGTATATGATGGTCAATAAAACATAATCAAAACATTTCTCCTTCATATATATAGTTACTTCATATATAAAGCAGCCTTAAGAAACATTAGATCTATTTAATTTTCTGAAGTCTTTCAGAAAAAAAATAAGAAAAAAGTTACAATTCCTTCTGTATACTTTGTAACCACAACAGTAGTAACTACTTACAATTACATTTACAACATTTAAAGCAAAATATCCAGATGGGAATTCTAGACAAAGAAGCTTTTATTACCTGGAACCAAACTTTCATTGTAAATCCAAGGAGGCATTCTGGGCTGAACAGGATCTTGTGAGGGAAATACACCTACACCTAAAAGATAAGGAACATTACCTAATCTATATAACAGTCCACAAAGAAGATGGGGGAATCACATAGAGTCATAATTTTTTTATAAAGAGCACAGGCTGGAGACACTAAAAAAAAAGTCACCAATACAACTAAAATATTTGGTTTCTAAACAACTCCTACACATTAACTATGTCCTATTGAAAAAGAAACCTAAGATATACCAAATCAATATTCTGAATCATATGAGGCTTGCACCATTTCACGTGTATTACAAATTTAAAGGGAAAAAAACACACAAAAATCAGTGGTTTAAATTTTTATATGTAAAAAAAAAAATGTGGTTGCCTAAGCTTTACAGCTTTTTATGTTTCTTTACAAAGCCTGTATTTTTTACCTGAACATGACACTGCTGCCTTAGATGCATAGGATTTTTGTTTATTTTGTCCAGTGAAATACCCTCCAAAAGTTTACCTCCTGGGTTGCCCACATTCTAATTCATCTCTGCAAGCTGAGTTTGTAAAAATTTGACCTTTTAGGGAGCAGTGTGTCTGATTTACTTCATAGAAGCAAAACTATATTCTCATTGGTGACTTTTCCAGTTAAATTTTAACCTTTCAACCTTTATAGAACACCACAAAGTGCAAAAAGGAGAATGAAGAGTTTTTATAAAAGAAATTTCAGGAATGATTCTGATTTAAAATTTTTAAAAGGAGTAACAGTATATTGAAAGAATTCAGAGCAAAATCGTAGGGGTTAATTGGAGAAAGAAATGCATTAAATATATTTTAAGCAAAATTTTGATTAGCAAAATCAAGCAACATTCATTTTAAGATTAATGCTTAAGGTGTTAGCATTTGAGCAGCATTTGGTTAAATAAACTTTTTGCTAAATATTTCATGAGCTCACCACTCTCTTCAATGGGCAGGTTTTGGTCTGAAGTCTTTTTTGCCTCTGCAGTAGTGGTACCACTTACACGTCCATCCACAGCACCCCTGATATTGGCCGTTAAACTAAGATGGTTCTTACTGGAACCTGGGCCTTGGGCTCTGTGCCCAACCTCAGAAGTATTTAATTTAATTTGTTCCTGCTCAGATGTACTTATATCACAAGCTACTAGGAGCTTCTCCTCCAAAGAAGGGCCTAAACAAACAGCATGAAGGATTATTTGTATATAACTGCAAATTTCTAATTTTTTCAATCATTCATTTCCATCCCCAGATTCTTAAGGGAAGATCCTGCCACATACAATGTAAATTTCTAAATAATTCGATCACTACACAATTGTATAGAAATTGAGAGACTTAGATTTTAAATCTACTTTGATTCTCAAGCATTCTCTGAGGCAGCAGATAGAACGGTAGAGTGGAAGGAGTACTACCTTGGAAGTCTGGTGACCTACACACGATATGGACACTTCCACTAACCACTGGTGAGACCCCTGGCCAGTAACATCATCTCTGGGTCTGTTTCTCCTCTGTTAAGTGACAATGTGTGGACTCAGTACATCTCAGCTAAGATCCCTCTCAGCACTACTCTATGTCTCACGCCATGGTGTATAACTGTCCCAACCCCCATTATTTCACAAGTGCTAAAGATTTGCCCGAGGACAGCAAATGAAGAAACTGAATTAGAGCACTTTCTAAAGCAGCTTTCCCTGGCTCATTACTCTTAAGAAAATGATATTAGTGATTTTCCCAAATAAGAGTAATCTTATGAAGAAATTGGTTTGTTCTTAAAATTCTAAGGTGGTTTAAATAGTGCCTAATTTAAGAGCAAAAGTTTTAAATCACTTTTCTGGAAAGTGAGGCCCCCAGAATTAAAAAATCTAGATTCTTATTTTGACGATTTCAATAGTACTCATATATTCAGGTACATGTTTCTTTGCCAACATCACTGTATTATTCAACTTATATAAAAGAAATAAGCCTAGATTATCTTAAAAATACTTTCATTAATATGCTAAGAGTTACCTGCTCTCTGTACATTGTATGAGGCTGAAGCAGTAGAGAAATAAGGAATCTGTCCAGGGACACCATGTAAGGCAAAAGACACTGGAATCTGACCTGGAGGGAGAGGCTGTGCTCCAGCCTTCTGTGTGTGCAACTGGCCAAGTGGGGTGGTGGGATGGAAAGACTGAAAAGGCTGGGAAGTGGAAGAAGGCCCACATGTGGGAAGTTCAACAGGCCCCTGCATAAAGTCACTGAATTCTTCTTCATCAAGAAAGGCAGGTGATGGGGAGACAGTTTTAGAATGAGATGATGTGGGATAATCTGCAAAATGGAAAATGGTAACGAAACACACAGAAATGAAAATCAAAAGGGAGAAAGAAATTAAGATGTAGTACAATTCCAAAAGAATATACTGAAACATGAATAGTACAGGTGAACAAGAAATAACATGTAATTAACAGTCAAATGGAATTTTATAATGAATGCACAACACTTTGATGTCTATTACTACACAATTTTTTTGTTTTTTTAAAAAGAGATTTATAGCTATTTTACATTTGACTCAAAAAGAGAAAAATATAAAAGTCAAAATTTCTTTCCTTCTTTTATTAAGTTAGTACTAATTTTTCCCCCTGTGACCACTAATAATTTACATCAAAGTGGTGATTACTTTTGAAACTCAAGTGATCTGTTTATCTGGATAATATGCTTTCAAACTAATATATACCAGAAATATGAAAACCCACCAAATGCTGCTGAACACATTTTGGGCAGACATAGACTCTGATTAAAATTCATTATGTCAGTAAGAAACAATGTATGATACATACTTATAATTTTTGAAATAGCAGGTCTAACCCATACATTTTGAATAGTTCACTTTTCAGTAACCATGTGAAGGATCCTATATAATAAAAGGCTAATATGCAAATTGACCAAACGGTGGAACAACTGGTCAATATGATGCGCAGTGACCACCAGGGGGAAGACACTCAATGAAGGAGCTGCCCCCTGGTGGTCAGTACGCTCCCACAAGAGGAGCATCGCTCAGCCAGAAGCTGGGATCATGGCTGGTGAGTGCAGCAGCGTTGGCAGGAGCCTCTCCGGCTTCTGCAGCAGAGCTAAGGATGTCCGACTGTCGGCTTAGGCCTGCCTAAGCCGACAGTCGGACATCCCCCGAGGGCTCCCAGACTGCAAGAGGGTGCAGGCCGGGCTGAGGGACCCCCCGCAAGTGTATGAATTTCGTGCACCAGGCCTCTAGTGAAACTTATGACAACAAGAACATTAAACACATTGCCAAGGTGATATTTTCTTGTGAAAAGCCTCAAAATTGGGACACCATAAAGTGCTGAGTCAAACAACTCAACAGTCAATTTAAGAAAGGAAATCTTGATTGAGGACTATATTTTCTTTAGCTCTAAAGAATACTAAATCACTATGGCTTTTTACTGTTAAATGTGAGAATCACTCTTGTAATAAACCTTCTCTAACAGGGACTACGTATATTTAATATGAGGCTCATTAACAATATTATTATTGCCATATTTTTAACTACTTTGAATTGCTTTCACATTTACTGAAGTCAGGACAGTCTTTTTTAATAATGGTTACTGACAATGTGGATTTAAGATCTCAATTTGGGTTCTCAGATCAGTACTGGTGGACAACTTTCCCTTTATCCTGTTCTAAATAGGCACTTTTTTGCTTATCTGATGATAAATGATAATAAAAACAACAAAGAAATATATTAAAGAAACTAAAATTCCATGAGGAGCATTATTAAACCCGTGACTTTTTAAAAAGGGGGCAGGTACAATTTTCAAAGTTTAATCACACTGAATAAAATCCAAACTAGCTCATAAAAAGCAAAATTATTTTAAAATAATGAGAAAGCAATAAACTACTTTATTACATTTGCTTTGAGTGAATGCATTTTACTAATGTTAACATACTCATATACACAGAAGATTTACAAGTAAAGTTGTCATACTGACATTTACTAGAAAGAGAGGGGGGTTTTCCTCCTAAGATTGTTATGTTGATCAGAACACTTAACCTATTGTAAATTTTAAGACATCCAAATCTGTACTTAGCTTGAAGGAAGAGTTCAGCATTAGCTCTTCATACACACGTAATGGCCAATAAAACACATGGACTATAAGTCACCTTCCGACAAAAGAACACTTTAAATTAAAATACCTGGTTTCTTAGGGTGCGATGCTGGAGTAGGGTGCATCTTAGCATCTCTGGAAAACCCATCTAAGTTTCCTTTTATGGCTTCCAAAGCATCATCTCTACTCTTCTCTCCTATCTAAGAGATAATAAATGTATGTATATTTCTTTGCTCATCTCTCACTTCATCCTAAATACTCCCAAAGTTAAAAAGAAGTACAGATATTAGTCTGTTGCCAGTATTATCACATACTTCTGATACTGAATTCTCCAAGTCAGACGATTGATAAGTGTATAAAACAAAGACATAAAACAATACTCTAAATTAAAAGGCCTATTTATAAATACCTTATGATTCAGTTGTTATGTTATATTAATATATTAATATTCTGTATTAATGCTTCACTAGAAAAGACTACAAACATTATAGTGGTAGTAAAAAAGACTGAGAAAACTGGCTGATATCTCATTTCCCTTAACAATATAGTGTCTTTACAGAAGAAAAATCCTTCACTTTTGGACTAAATGAAACTAAAATGAATCAACCACAGCCTCAGGTTGGGCTGCTACATGGCAAAATTCACTGAATGAGTAGAGGCAGCACATGCAGGCTGTGTATGTGTGGTGGAGGGGTGGCAGACTATATTACCTTGGGTTTCACGCTACTCAGAAGTCTGAGCTTTTGCTTCTGCTCTTCAAACTGGCGCCTTTTTCTTTCTTCTTCTAAGAGCTTTTGCTGCTGTTCAAATCGTTTTCTGAAGGAAAAACATTCAGGGATTATCACCTGTGTTAATATTTATATTTCTACTAATA